TATGTGTGTGTGTGTGTGTGTGTGTATGTGTTTGTGTGTGTTTTCACCTGCCTCCCAATTAACAGTTGTTAGTGTTGTACACGCTCTTATCCATACGTGTGGCGTCGATAGCCTAGTGGTTAGACTACCGGACTCGTAATCGTGAGATTGCGGGTTCGGGGGTTCGAGCCTCAGCTCGATCCGACATTTTATCCTTGGGAAAGGCACCTTACACGAATTTACCATTTGACTCGGTCCTTTCGGAGATGGATTTTAAACTCGGAGGCCCCGTCTCTTAAATAACCTAAAAGTGTTGATAGAGGCGTTAAACCTATACCATTTCCCCATTTTTTTATATCCACACGTGACAGATGATGAAAGAGGTGAGGTATTTGACCCTGTCAGTCAGGTCCACCTGGGCTCTTGTCTATTTGTGAGAGCATGTGTTAGAGTTTCAGTGTGCTTCTCTCTCTCTCTCTCTCTCTCTCTCTCTCTCTCTCTCTCTCTCTCGGTCTATGTCTCTATCTCTGTTCCTGTCTATCATTTTGCCCTTCTTCTATCTCCCCCTCTCTCTCTCCCCCTCCTACAACTCCTCTTCTACTCCCCCTTCTTCTCTATCTCTCTACCTCTCTGTCTTCTCTTTCTCTCTCACTTTGTCCTCCCTCTCCCTCCGCCCTCTCTCTTCTACTCCCCCTTCTTCTCTATCTTTCTACATCTCTGTCTTCTCTTTCTCTCTCACTTTGTCCTCCCTCTCTATCCATCTCTCTCAACCTCTATCCCCACCCCTGTTTCACCTTTTTCTTTCCCTAATCATTTCCGCTGATTCAGTTCTATTAATAATTATTCTTGGTCTATTTTAGTGCCAGCTCTTTCATTGACTCTCTTTTCCTCGTCCTCAATAATAATTTCACTTCTCGCCACTTCTAAACCAAACAGAAGTGGGCATATACCGCGGAGCTATGACTGCAAACACAGAAAAGACTCGCGCACCGAAGGGCGCATTCCTGGTGGCCCCCAAAACAAACTTTCCACATCGCAGGTGCCGGCCTCGTTAACTGTCTCACCACACATACCTACACAGGCAATTAGAAACTCTTCTCTCCACATCTCTCAATCGACAGCAGGGATTACACTGTGCGATGTGTGTTGGGGGAGGGTCTGGGGAGGGTGGGGTGGGGTCGTATGTATGTATGTATGTATGTATGTATGTATGTATGTATGTATGTATGTATGTATTGTTTGTTTGTTTTAGTAGAGGTTTTACGGCGCTCGCAACTGCAAAAGGTCATATGAGCGCCAGAAGATTAGAGGTGTCACAAGAGAGTAACAAACATTTTAAAAAAAAGAAAAAGGGGAGATAAGGACGATATATGTTTGATAGGAAAGAAGGAGCAAACCACACCAGAGCACCCGCCAATCACCCACATATGTATGTTTGTATGTTTGTATGTATGTATGTATGTATGTATGTATGTATGTATGTATGTATGTATGTATGTATGGAGGGAGGTATGGAGGTGTCTATGTTTAGCTTTAGTAAGAGTTGTACGGCACTAGCAACACAATACGGTCATAATATAAGTGCCGAAGATTAGATGTTTTACAAGACAGTAAAAAACACCAAAAAAAGGAGGGGAGGTAGAGACGATATATTTTTTTATAGGAAAGAAGAAGCAACCCACACCAGAGCACCCGCCAATAACCCACGTATGTATGTGTGGAGGTATGTATGTATGTATAGTGGTATATATCGATACGTGCATGTTTGAGTTTGAGTATATGTATGTAGGTAAGCACTGATATGTACCTGCACTTGTTCGTATGTATTCAAGGAGGCATGCCCTAATATGTGCGTGTGTGTGTTTGTATGTATGCATGGAGGTAAGTACAGGTATGTGCGTGTATGTGTTGGCATGTATGTATGGAGGGGTATGTATTGATGTGTGTGTGTGTGTGTGTGTGTGTGTGTGTGTG